CAAGTACAACATGAGTCAGCTGAGGTATGCTTAATAAATGCAAAAGGGGCATAGGGAAAAAGCTACTATATACAAACATTCCTGGGGTGAGTTCCAGGTAATGTGGCAGGGGCCAGACTAAGTCCAGGGATATGTGTGGTAGAGAACTAAAAAGGAGGGGGTTGGGGGTGGGTGGGGGAGAAAAAGACACAGGTACCAGGGGAACAGGGCACTAACTCATCCAAGGGGAGGGTGTTGTTTATATTTCCACAGGGAAAGAGGGACCAGACTTCAACCCAGTCCTCCAAGACGTGAATGCAACATACTAGCATGAAGCAGGGAACCAATACAGAGGTCTGAGGGGCCAGCCCCAGTCCCAATTACATGGACAGCTTTCCATTCCTGCAGAAGAAAGCACCTAAGCTAAAGCTCAGGAAGAGGGGCATGTCTGATCAAAGCACACAGGAGCAAATGAAGGGAGAGGAAGCAAGAGTGGAACACATCCTTGCCCACCAAGCCCTGTGGACGATATTCCCAGTCAGAGCAGCCAAAGCACAAAGAGGACCAGAGGGTCAGCCCCACTACAAGACACAACGTCCCTCACTGACCCATAGCACTACAGGGGACAACACTGAAGACACAGTGCGGTAACTGCACCTGATCTGACCCCACCACACTGAGACCAGACACTAAAGGTGTGCAACTGAACAGTTAAGGGGAACAGAGCAATAAAGTCCCCAGGGCAGGGAATACCAAAAATAGACTGTGGGGCCAGGGAGTGGCACCCCATCAGATTTTACTGGACAACACTCCTAAAGGTCAACAAACAGACCTTGAACTATTTACAGACTTTGATTTGTTGTTGTTTTGTTTTCTTTTGTTGCTTTGATTTGCTGTCTTGTTTTTTGTGTATATTATTATCTCTGCAGGTCTATCTAGATAAGATAGGTGGGAAAAACGATCTGGAGGAGAAAACAAGAGACCGATGGTTCTTGGGGTACATGGGAGAGGGGGCGGTTGGGGGAAAGGAAGTGGTGTTAACAAACCCAGGGACAAGGGAACAACAAGTGACCCAAATTGGTGGCGAGGAGGGTGTAGAGGGCCTGGTAAGGTAGGATCATGGGCAATGTAACCTTACTGAAACCCAAATGAAGGCTGAGTATGATAGTGGGAGAAAAGTAGAGTACAAAAGAAACAAGAGGAAGGAACTAGGAGGCAAAGGGCATTAATAGAGGTCTAAATAAAGGCATGAACATATGTAAATATATTTATATATGACGATGGGGAAATAGATCTATGTGCATATATCTATAGGTTTAGTATTAAGCGAGCAGATGGACATTGGGCCTTTACTCGAGTACTCCCTCAATGCAAGAACATTTTGTTCGATTAAACTGGTATTCCATGATGCTCACCTTCC